CCCATTTAAGTAAGTTAACATGAACAGATTTTAATACATGAATGTCTGCTACAATTATACTCATCACTTCTAATTCATTTGTGCGTCGACAAGCGAAATATTAGCCATTATTTCGTAATCGAAAACTTACCGCATTAATTTGAAACTTCGTGACAATTTTTGAAAGATTCATAAGAATTTGAACAACTTCAGTTTCTGCAGTTAATATCAAATGACATTCTAATTATTTGCAGTAATTATAAATCCATTTAGCTAATTTGTTGGTTAAAGAATACCGTGATTATGAAGTTATAAGTCATGAGGCTGTGGGATACTCTCAAGTAATTTAGAAAACTTTATACCACCTTTTCAAAAATGCTAGCAGCATAAAACTGTTATTTATATTTACAAATGGCGATTCTTATAATTTTTGGCTATTTATATAGCCAACATTTATAATATACTATTAATTAGTATTTAGCCTCTCTCTACCGTATATATCGTGTCTGGTTGGCATGTTCGGTATCGCACATATTATGTTCGGTTGACATGTACACTGAAAAAAAAAAGGCGGGGAGGACAGTTTTTTATATCTCCCGTTTTACTGGGCTGATTGACAAAATTCAAACTGCGTTTTTCATGTCCCGAAAGCGAGATTTAGGTTATATACTAGATTGATATATAGCATTGTTCCAACACAGGTATTTTGACACAAAATCGGACGTTTTCAGAAATAACATGACAATTTTTTTCCATATTTCGATTCGACTACTCAAATTACGCTTAGATATTAAATTTTGTAAAATTGAGTGCGAAATTTACGGAGAAATTAAAAAATTTATCTTGGCGAATTTTTTTCAGTTTTCGCCAAGAAAAATTCACTTGGCGAACCTCTTAACATGTGGCAACCAATTTTCCTTTCCCTTTCATTATACTGGAGCGGAAAAAAAGGGATCTCGCTCGTACCTTTTTACATTGTGCATGATCAGAAAAAAAGTCAATTCGTTCCTACTTCCAAATAATATTAGCAAAGCGTCTAAACCACAGTTTTATCGCTTTCAAAAAATATGCCAAATTTCCGGGCCAATATATAAATTCACGTATATCTTCGGAAATTTTGAATAAAAAACTGTAATTTTTTAGGTATGCTTAGAAATACATCTACTTTAAGATGATGGTAAAATTTTACAGATTATAATTCAAAAATGTTTTTGATAAATTTATAAAAATTACTTAAAACTACAAATTTTAAAAATAAATCATAAAAAATGGGAGAATTTTATTTTTAATGAACCCGAATTTCGAAATGTGAAATTAAAAATCAAATAAGTATTTATACGTATAAGTATTTGATTATTAAATATATATACCAAACTCAATTAACATTGAGGAGCTAAAATTTTGAGAGCTAATTTTTTAAAAACTACTCCTACGATTTTTACAAACCTTGGCTGTTTGGCATAATTTGAGTCGTAGAATCGAAATATGGAAAAAAATTGGCATGTTATTTCAGAAAAAGTCCGATTTTGTGTTAAAATTTGTATATTAGAAAGATGCTATATATAAACCTAATACATATCGCGCTATATATAAACCTAATACAAGTCGCGCTTTCGAGACCTGAAAAACGGAAGTTGAATTCCGTCAATCGGCCCAATAGAACGGGAGATATGGGAACTGTCCCGCCTTTTTTTTTTTTTTTTTTGTGTGTGTGTGTGTGCAGTATACGTACTATGTTCCTCTGACACGAATGAATTTGACAATACGTTGGGTATTCATGCATTCCATGAGTTTAAAAATAAGTTTGTATTTACATCTTTTCCGTCAATGATTTTACATCTTACAATATTAGTTGCAACATTTTATATTAATTGACCTCTATATGTTTAATATGTTGTTCAAGGTTTCATTCAGTGTTAATTCTGTGATAATTTTACGTATTCAGCAATTTTGATTTTACTTTGAACATCAAATCAGTTTCCAAGTAAGGATTTAATTTTCATTATTACTTCGTCTGCATCGAATTGGGCACTTACTATCTGTCAGTTCCGAAAAATTTACTGAGTACACCATTTACCAAACACTGCAACCCTGAATGATTACAAAGAAGATCTTATCTAATTTAACTAGCTCAAGAAGCCCAATTTTTAAGCATGTGAAACTAGGTCAAGCAAGAAACCTCAGCAGATGATACTAACAATATCCCTTATCATCCATTATTATTAAACAGAAGGAATACCATGGATACAGAAAAATGAAAACCAAAAGCCCGCGAAATAATTTTCTTTCTTTCTGTGTTACACAGGCGAAATCGGATATTCCGTTTGCTTCTAAGACGTATTGTGTTGCGAAACCTTTTCTAGGAATCAATGATTTCCGATAGCTGTTCGCTACATCAGAGCTACTGCTAAGAAATAAGTGCTGTGGGTCAACTACAGACGGAACAGGCTTCCATCAATCGTTACTAATCAGTTTCGTTAGTAATGACTCAGTTCTTGTTCGATTCCTATAATGGCCATCGCAGAGCTATTGCTTTTCATGCTCTTGAAACCATTATTAGTTAGCTTCAAGATTAATTTTCTAGCATTAAGTATTACTGAAAGACCATTACTTGAACTGTCATAAAACTACTAAGAATGATGTCTGATTAGTTAATTGCTCTATATAGAGATTTAAAGAAATCTGATTGGACTGGAGTTATTTCCTTTATATGTGTTTTCAGTGATAGCGCTTGTTAATGTAAATAAAAAATTTATAATGTTTTTTGATCTTGATCTGCAAAAATAAAATTGTAAATCTAAGTTGTTACAGGATCTCCGTAATGTAGAAATTCCGGTTAGTTAAATATTCAGTATTGCTTTGGCTGGTTGAAAAGTAAAATCCCCATGCTTTTAAAAGCAATATTTATAGAGATGTGCATAATAACTAATTCCAGTATACCAGATACAAATTTACAAATAAGGCGTAATCATGATTGCCAATTCGAGTATTCGTTTTATGCGCTGTCTTTAAATTAACTTTCAAAAATTCATGAATGGGCAATGAGTATAGGAAAACTTTCAAAACAAATAAAGATTTTTCGAAAATCACCAGAGTTTATATATATATATATATATATATATATATATATATATATATATATAAAAAATACGATGGCTTTGCTCTACGCGAACACGCAACCTCCAATTAACTTTCTGCAATTTAGGATCTTTCCTCTAGACCAGTACCTTCCAGAACCTTCGCGCCTATAACATAACCGCTACTATAAATACTCAGTACGCGCCATTTTGGGTGAGAAGCTTTCCTCTCTCTGTGCCGTTAGGGTCTACGCTACTGCGCTTCTCATAAGTTATGACGCATCAAAGTTAAAATACTCTTATTTAGTAACGAATAAATAATTTACAATGATATTTGAATTAAAGATATGGAATAAAGATACACAGTTTAAAAGCTAATTAATTTTTGTGCCTTCATTGGATTTTTCCTTGCCACTCTGCAAAAACCATGCCCGAACTTTGATGCCAAGCTTCACCACGACTGCTAAAATATCACACACACACACATATATATATATATACTAAAGAAATGTTGATTATATTATTTACTAATATACGAGTAAATTTAGTAGAATGTATCAAAAAAAGGGAACCCATATGTAGCAAGTGTAATTCCGAAAACTGTGTTTGAAAGGAACTTGAATGTAAATCATGAAAAAAAAAAAAAAAAAAAACGTTTTAAGGGGACTTGAATTTAAATCATGAATAATAAAATTTCAAACTTTGAAAAGAAACTAAAAATTAAAAAACAAGTAATTATAGCTATTGATGGGAAATTAGCTGACTTTTCAAGGGAAACAAACCATCTTCAAAAGTCAACTAATTCAGATGAATCATGAATCTAGTCAGATGAATGACCATGCGGTGTCCAAGCACTCGTTTTTGTTTTTCGACATTACTGCGGTCGAGGTTATTTCGAATCTGGCGCTTCAATGCATACATGCACGTTTCATTTAAAAGCTTGTAAATCGTAAGACAAAACAAGCAATACAATGTAAGAAAAATTATCAAATTTCGAAATAAGATTACAGAAGATATATGAAGTTACTGAATATGTTGCTGACGGTTTGTAGCACAAAAAATTAGCAGACTTGATCACATGAATATTTTAATAGGCAGCGAGTGTTTTTGAAATTAGGAATAAAACTTCAAAATATATAAGAATTTTCTTCCTTTAAACTTAAAAGTTTTATTTTTCCTATATTAAAATGCTATTCACTTACATGGTTTCATAAAATTAAAACTGAAATTAAACTTAAAAATACATAAGAATTTTCTCCCTTTAGACTTAAAGATCTATTTTTCCTATATTAAAATGTTATTCACTTACATGTTTTCATAAAATTAAAACTAAAATGCATATTCTCTGAACTGTTATTTTACAGTGTTATTTTCTACTTATCCCAGTAATTAATTCCTAATTGTATCAATATAACGTTAACAATAAATCAATATACTATATTACTATAGAAATGTTTTTATTTAAGAAATTTTAGAATCTGTGAATAGAATAAATCTGGTACGCTAAATTAAAAAACCACGTTTGTGGATAATCATTTAGTTTGATATGGCGGTCGTCGTAGCAGATTAAAATCATCTGTATTCCTGACGGGTAGTGTTGGCGAAGTTTACTGTGGTAGGTTTTGCAACTATAAATAATTGAATAATTAGAGTTCGTCTGTCTTAATATCATAATTAGAAACAAAATACTATTTATATAGTGTAGAGTTACCATAAACAAGGACACGAGATGAGCATCGATTCGCTTACAGACTAACTTAGCGCATAGTTGCCACAAATACTCATTTCGCTAATTGTATGTTTTAATTTGAAACTCCGTTTTAGAAACATGAAAGTAGTCACTTGTTGTGATTCCTCTTTACTATATATGTATAATTATCAGATAGCTTAGACAGGGAGGAATATTTGAATTAATGTTATTAATTTTACATAATTTCTTTGCAGTTCCACCCGTCGTAGAAGCCACTATATCTCCAGAAGATGCAAAAGAAGGTGATAGTATCTCCCTTTTCTGTGACATCCTTGAAGGCAATCCCCAGAATCTGAAACGAGTCCGGTGGTACAGATATGAAGATTTCTTGCATGAAACTACAGAAAGAGAGATTGTGTGGGTTGGAGCGTCACGGAATACTTCTGGAGTATATTCCTGTGAAGGACAAAATACGGCTGGCTGGGGAGAAAGATCAGAGCCGAAGGAGCTCATTGTTCGCTGTAAGTACGACACAGCATTTGAAATTTTAGTGATTAGATAGTCAAGAAATGTTCAGAATACATTTTAAGCGCGTTTTTCTAAAAGATTTTGTATTTACTTCCTATCCTTTTGAAACATCTTTTTACGATTTTATAACGCACTACCTGTATCATTTATATACTGCAAAAAAAGCATAATTGCTTGAAATTTAAATCCTTGGAAATATATCAAGAATCAAAATGTCCAAAGCACCATTTAATATTTTTAATTTTTTTCAGGCGCGGGTTCTAAAACTTTTATGACTTTTTAAATTGTTTTGCACGGAAAAAAATACCTTCTTTTTCGTACCATTAGTTTTAAGTGCATAAAAATACACTGTGTACTGTAATAAATACAAAACGTTAGTGAAAATGATAGATACACCAATTTCAGACGTAAAAATAATTTTTAAAATATGAACAAGAAATGGCCTAATAAATTTAAAGAAAGAATATAAATAAATTTTCAATCACTTATATTAATTTATTATTTTATAGTTTTATGTCATATTAAAAAAATCACTATTTTATTATTTTAATTTATTATTTTTACGGTTTTTAATTATGAAGTCAATAAAGTGTAAAAATATATTATTTTATTATTTTAGAGGTTTTATTTTTGATGTCAATTAAAGTTAAAAATTGATTATTGTATTTTTCATTATTAGCCCAAAGGAGTGTTAGCCCAAAAGGGCTATTAGTCTCAAAACAGAATTTTGCGTTGAATCACTCTAAAAGTCTGAACCGCTTTTAAAATCGTTGCTACCAAATATTATCGCCCTGTATTACATTTAAAGAAATTAAATAATGAAGAATTTGCCTGAATTCATGCATGCTTTTCGCATTGTGAAGAAACAACGGTACCTAGAGCCATCAGATTCCGAATACTATAATCCTCCACCTGAATATCAACAGCTGGAAGTCCGAATGTTGAATTTCGAATTTGTTTTATTACATATTTCATATTTTGTAAAACTCTAACGAAGTTTTGATTAACAAACTCAATGATTTCAAAGGCAGCATTGGCAACACCTCACGGGAAAAAACAGTTTTATCTCCAGCGCACGAGACTGTCTACCGGAAATTCTAAAGAAAGATTGTTTTTAAACATTTTTAGCCCAAATTATCTTGAAGCGTGTATGTGCATATAAATGAAAACGCTCCCCTTTGGGCATAGTATAAAATCTGAAAGCATTCAGATTTTTTTTTTTTTTTGTTATTATTTCATAGTTTTTATTTTTGATGTTAATTAAAAGTAAAATTTTATTTGAATTTATGCACAATTTAAACTTTTAAACATTTTAAATAGTAAAAATGTACTAAGCGCACAATTTAATTTTTTTAACTGCTAGAAAGTTTAGCTACGCATCTTAAGGTTAAATTCACCTCACCTTTTATAAAATTTAAATTGCCTACGATTCAAGGTCAGGAAACAATCGGCATTTCCAATGCAATATTTATGCATAATACATGAGGCAAATCATAGATAAGTTGCAATTTCAACTAGAGCTGTGTAGTAAAAACTAAAGTCTTGGATCTGTAAATTCCTGGAGAAGTTTTTCTTAATTTTGTGCAAATTAGAAAGGATCTTATTAAATTTGATATTTAATATTTCTTACATATAGAAACTCATTTGCTATAGTATGTTGACTGTCAAACAACGTTTAGAAATATTTGCAAGTATGTCATTTTATCATCAAGATTTATTATTTTTGAATGCATACTTTCAGCTCTGAATTTTCATATTAATATTTTCTTATTTTTAATTGTCGCATGCTCATATTTGCATGATAACTGGAAGAAACAGTTCGAAGAAATGATTATTAGGGGCAACAAGAGATCTTATTATGCTTTGAATAAATTTCTCTTTGCTTATTATGCTTTGAATAAATTTTTCAAACTACTTAAATTTCATTTAATAAAAATATTTAAAATCATGTCTTTATCTGTACAACTTGATAATCCGAAATCTGTTTAAAAAATGTCTGTACGTAGCAGTTCTCTTAAGGTCCCTCGAACAGTCTGGCGATTAGCTGAAGCAATTCGAACTGAAGCATATTTAGGATACCTACAGTCGTCCTGTCTGTAAGTAGCAGAAATGCATAAAATCCAATCGTACAAGTAAATAAAATGTAAGATAAAACTACTTGACACAATACTTTTTAATTCTGTATATTTCTGAAAGAAAGATAAAGGGCAAAGGAAGATAGACTCTTTACTCCTTCCTCGATTAAAATTTGATTGGCATTGGACAAATACATTTCTGATGCACATAGGTCTTTGTCAACTATAATGTTTCAGCTGTTATGAATTTTCATGGGTTTTCCAAATTAGCACATTGTAGAAACAAATCAGGCGTAGAGTTTTTACTAAGGTTGTGATAAATTTAAATTTTAAAATAGTTAGAGCTAGCTATATATGTTCATGACACATTAGCTTTAAAAATTGAGAGTTTTACAATTTAAAATTGAATATGCTAATAGATTAATGCAAATTATCTATACAAAAAATAACTTTATTTGGTGAACTCGAAGTTTTATACCCACGTGATTATGAGTTAATGATTAGCGTATGAAACCGGAATTCGTCTGGAGTTTGGGCAAGACACTGTCCATTTCTTTGCAGCAGCTCGCCTGTCTTGTTTTCTGCAGACAGCATCCAAACAAAATAATATTGATATTATAATTTTCAACGAGGACTAGACTTCCGAGGATCTTCTAGCCTTCCTCCTTAGTCTTCTTTCAGTGGAGGAAAGCAGCGTCCTAAAAGCAAGGAGAAGCAATTGTCAACATTACAAGCAAGAATATTAACAACATAAAGCACTGAAGAGTAAAATATAATGTCGATTTTTCATTCTAAAACTCTGTTTACTGAATTGTTTTTGTGTCGAGTTATCATTCCTACTATTGTTTGTCAATATACAATGACTCTTATGAGAATTTACAACTAATGTGTCCAGAAGGGATACAGTTCAACTGGTTGGGGGATCTTAACGCACTCACTGATCACTGATCAAACGGCATGTACCTCGTCCGCATCGCTGTTAGAAATCTTACAATCACTGTTATGAACATCGGGTTAGGAAATTAGGTCTGTATCACAGCATTAAGTAGCCGCATGTACTACGAATGCGACGACGTCTGCATCGCAATGATTGTCAACAAGACGACGATTGCTTTGGCTGCCTTTGACGCCACAGCATAGTAATTATCTCTTGCAGTGGTGTGTTAGGCTACAAACGTGGACACATCAATAGTGTGACATCGTCTTTCCTGACGAATTCCACTTTACTTACCATATCACGATGAATGTTACGTCCCAAAACAAAGAGAACGGATGTTGGTAAACCTGCATTCTCCAGTATTGCACCAATCAGCACCTGGATAGATGAGATAGAGTGCCACTGAGTATGCATCTCATTCATCTCTAGTTCGTGTATCCGGTGATTTCCAGTCACCTTTACATTACTTACGTTTTAATACATGTGGTCATGCCACACCTTCAAAGCGTCCATCTATCGCCCCACCTTTAAAGAGGACACAACATACCGCATGTTATCCACACTGTCTTTTGTTTGTTGGGTAGCTGCTTTGGCTGGTGTGTTTATCAGATAGCCCATCAAATGAAGACATCTGGTCAATTATTGGAGAGAAATTAGCACGACAACACCTGTTACCTAGTATGAAAGATGAACTTTCGCATAAACTAAAAGCTGAGTGAACTGATACACCTATAATTGGCATTTAAAGTATGTTTGTATCCATCTCAGTCGTATAAAAGCTACTAATTTTGCTCGGGATACAGGTTTTTGCATGTCTTGCGTCTCAGAATTACCAGAAACATTATTCACTTTGTCTTTTTTCACAATTTATTCGTAAAATAGCTTTATTCTTTCCGTCATGGTGTAGCAATGGTAGAGGCCAGCTGCATATAACGCAAAGAGCTTATACAAATTTGCATAAATTAAGCAACTTTTATCCCTCTTAAAATTTAACAATAGTTAACTCATACCTTTTCTAATCTAAGGTGTTTAGTTATAGATAAATGCAATAAAAATACCCATTTTCTGTCTTAAGTGAAATGGCAATAAATATCTTATAAAGTAATACTTTTAATAAATCAAATATGATTGCACTAAGATTTCTGATTCCTAGACACAGTTTAACAAAACAACGGATAATCTTTTAACATATGGTGAATAAAATGTTTTATGACGACTAACAACTAAATTAAAGTGTTTTACATCATGTGAATTAAAAAAGATAAGAATGTGAAATATCACTATGCTTGTGCGCTTACTAGATAAAAAGAAAAAAAAAGCGAGCTTCTGAGACGACACATGACAAAGACATAAGCGGAAAACTGAATGCACTTTTCAACTTAAATATCCCTTAACTACTTTCCACTGGAATGCTCAAAGGAAAAAAAGTAAGTTAAAAAGTTAGTCAACAATCCTTTAATTCTCGTTATTGGTAAGAAAGAAGCACTCAAAAAGTTTAGATTGCTCGAACATTTCGAAAGCAGGAACTTTGTAATCTCAAAAATGCTGCGTTCAAAGTGAGGAAAAAGTTCTCTAAAGCATCATTAACATGTAAAGAGCAATCTATGTGAGCTGCACACAGAGACGACGAGACATTTAATTGCCTTAAATTAAAAATGTACCTGTTTTTACCAGTGTTAGCACTAACTCTGGAAACATTTTCTGCAAATTTATATGAAGTAGCTAAAAAAAGTAGAGAAAAAATAATCAGGTAAATACTTACTCCGAATTCAGGTGGATAATTTTCAGTTTCAAGAGAGAGTGAAAGCAGCGTTAGCGCTTGTGTCATCTTAGTGTAGGCTGTAATGAAGAAGGTGTAATAAGAAAATAAAATAAAACGGTGTAAAAAAGACTAAAACAATTTTCATTAAGTTCTTATGCTAAGGGAAGTCTGTTCCGCTCTCTTTAGCTAAGGTATTAAAATTACAGACTAATTTTCGTT